CCCCAAAACCCCAAAACCCCAAGTCTATAGGTAAGAGTATTTGGGAAATATAGAAATTTTATGATTAGTGGTGATAAAATCTCAAATAAATAACTTAAAGATTTATAATTCAAGGCATTGTATATAAATATATGCTAAAGAAAATAAAGTCCATTGATTAGTTTGGACAAGATATCAAGTTACTATATAAAGGGGAGGAAACAATGAAAACCCTACCAGGGGCTTGTGCTACTTTAGTTTATGTCATCATCCTAATCTTATATTTAGCTTTTCAACTTCGTTCTATTGGCGAAGTTTCTCAAGTTGTTTATCAGTAATCGTTTACGGCTCTAGAGGATCAAAAATTGGAGCTAACTGCAGATAATTTTCATTTTGAACTCTCTGTGGGAGCACAAGATTAATTAAAAGATTTGATGGATGTATAAGGATATCTCAGTGTTTACGGGAGAGTGTCTAATTACAATAATCAAGGAATATTAAACTCTACGTTAGACATCATGTTCAGACCATGTAGTCACAATGATTAATACTATGATAGATTTGTTAGTTTTTGCTTATTAAATGGAACGACTATAACTCTTGACAATCGAAAATCGAAATTGAATATATACTTGACTAAATGTGATAAGAGACTGAACATATATGGTACTGTTTAATGCTATTAAAGCAATAATACTCAGTTATTCAAATACATCAATGAGCGCTCTGTTTAAGTCTGATATAAAACATAATTTTTCGACGCCAAAAGCAAAAGCTTTTATAATGAAAATTACGACTAAAATACCTTATCTGTCTATTCCTCATAGTAATCTCAAATAGTTTATCGAATGAATACTAATAAAGTAAAGAGTAGTAGTTCTCTTCTACATGAAAGTCTAGATTTAACAGAAAAAGAATTTTTAAGTACTAGCATGGCCTATATTAGTAGATTTTCAATAAACTAAACATAATTAAATTTCTTTGATGTACAATTCGAAATAACTGATGAAAGCCAAGAAATAGAATTACTTAGTACTAACTTAGTTTAGATATTAGCTAGCGTTGGAGGTCTAGCTGGATCTATCTTTGTTATAATCAAGTTTGTTGTGGACCCAGTTTAAAATTTCATCTACTATTAAACTATCATAAAACAGACATATTTGGTTGATTCAACTGTACTTAACAATAAATATTAAGAAGAAAGAGATAAAATATCTGAAATGAAGCAGCACTTACCAAAAAACTAGTTTGATTTACATACATCAAGTAAGGGTGAGGAGCTATAAGGGAAGACATAATCTTAAAATATAAATACTTTCTTTTTACTTATTCAAAAGCTTCTTTAGAGAAATCCTTTCTCATACTCTCCAATTTTTGCTTTTGGAACATATATCAAGAGTCTAATATTATGCAGAAAGTACAGTCATTAGGAAATCTATAGAACTGGAAAAGAAATGATTGAAAAGTAACTTGATATTAGAATTATGCTTAGAGACTTGAGAACTTACAAAATGTCAAATAATCTTCTTCTTACCAAATTCTAAAGAAGGCTTATCCCATTCCTATAGCCCTATCTTTTGAATAAAAAACTGGAAAGTAAGGAAAAAAAAGAAGAGGAAAATAAAAAGTTAAGCAAAGAAGAAGTAATTAAAAAGTTTTAAAATGAGAAGCTCTCTAATTTGATAGAATTCTTTGCAAATTACTAAAAGAAGAGTAATGATGTTGATAAGGTTATGTTTGATTAACTAATGTAAGATGAAGCTTAAGATATTCATAATTTAGAAGTTTAGTTATATTCTGGGATACTGAGGCAATATGTGGTCAATAACTTGAAGTAGATTGATGAAAAATCTATCATAAAGCCTGCTGATTCAAAGGTCAAGCCTAATAAATCTATAATTCACTCTTAAACTTCAAAGGCACTTCAATTAGGCAAAGGTTCAGATTAATTTTAGCAACCAAGATAAAATAGTTTAGATATAGGACCAAATGAAATTGATGATAAAAAGTTATTTTCAATTAATGATAGCAATTCATATAGTAATAAGAAAGCTTTTGAAAATAATGATAATTTTGAAAGAAAGAATGAGGATAATAATAATGAATGAAATTGAAAGGTACCATCAATGAGATTTATTGATAAGATATCATGACTTGCCTAATAAAGATTTAAAGAAACTAATTTTGGAATGCGTAGATTTTTATCTTTAAACATTTAGATTAAATTAATGATTTTCTATTCTCTCTTATTTAGCATTTTTTATCATTATGGGGTTTTGGGGTTTTGGGGTTTTGCAGCTAAATTTTCATTCAGTATTCCAATATCTGAGGATTGCTGATTTATC